ATCGGCGCAGTTGGCTCCGAATTAAGGGTCGAAGCCGATGCGGGTGAGGCCTCCAGGACACTGTTCAGTGGCAGAGCTAGATCATGCTCGTCGTGACAGCGCGGCGTGCTTGGCAGTGGCTCGAATCCGTCGAGGATCAAGTCCCCGCGGATGTCAGCCGTGTAGTTTAAACTTCCAAATCTGACCTGACGGCCAGGGGCATAGCTTTCGATCTGCTCCAGATGGCCAAGTGAATTGGCCCGCAGTGCGAACCGCCGAAGACGAAGATCTGTCCGGGGAGGAAGGTCTCACCCTGGACTACATCGCTATTGATGATCGTAGGAGCCATCAAGCCTAACGGCGACGACATAGAGGAACTCTCAATGAAAGCACCAATGTCGGTGTCAAAACCGGCGGATCTCGGGTAGGGGGTCCCGAACTATGCGTCTAGGCCGGATGGTAACAGGAGGCAAGGGACACGAAGTTTTACCCAGGTTCGGGCCCTCTTTATGGAGGTAAAACCCTACGTCCTGCTTGATTAATATTGATGATATGGGTAGTACAAGAGTAGATCTACCACGAGATTGGAGAGGCTAAACCCTAGAAGCTAGCCTATGGTATGATTGTTGTTCTGTATGTTGTCCTACGGACTAAAACCCTCCGGTTTATATAGACACCGGAGAGGGTTAGGGTTAGACAAAGTCGGTTACAATGGTAGGAGATCTGCATATCCGTATCGCCAAGCTTGCCTTCCACGCCAAGGAAAGTACCTTCCGGACACGGGACGAAGTCTTCAATCTCGTATCTTCATAGTCCAGGAGTCCGGCTGAAGGTATAGTCCGGCCATCCGGACACCCCCTAATCCAGGACTCCCTCACCCGCGTCGCTCCTGAGACTTCACAACCACGCCTCTTTAACCGAGCATTCTAACACATGCCTCTGCCACCGCACTCTTGTACTACATCCACAGGGTTGGTACATTACTACTTCAAAATCACATGATTGCTGAATAAACATAGTACTTAGCAAGCTAAATAACTTGCTCAATCACATAAACAAACTACAACTTGACATAAGGAAACTTGTTTAACCTGATACAGATGACATTACAAACTCCTTCATTCTAACAGAAGTAAACTATGAACCTGATACAATATAAAGGACAAGCATAAACACAAGCAACTCCACGACCAGTTTTCTATGTTTTCGTCGTCACTAGTACCCGTAGTAAGGATAGTCATAATTCTTCTCTGCCTCTTTTGCACTCTCCAGACCTTCTCTGATGTTTTCAATTCTCTTCCATGACTCGTAGGTTGCATACGCATCTATCGCTGCATACTCAATGAGGTAATTTGGCAGTGGGCTGATCCCCCACAGTTTATGGTCTTCAACTCTATCAATCTTATCCTTCATCTGTTTGTAGAATGGGTGGATCACGCTACCTGCAACATCAGCCAAAGAGTGGTACCTCTTTCTTCCCTTGAAAGGAACTCTCCATTTGCGCTGGATGTCGATGTACTTGTCGGGGTTGCTCTCCAAACCAGAACTTCGCAGCATCTCTTTGTCACCTTCAATACTGAAACCGGCAAAAAGGTGTAGAACCTGTCCTCCTTCAGGAACGGGCGCAGGCTCTTGGGCTTGCTGGGGGATGGCACATTTAAGGTGGATTCCTCAAGTATCGATCAAGTACATGCTTATTTTTATTTTTGGAATTTACACTTGAACCAATTACCTATCTACTTCTTAGCCACGTTAACAGATAAATTCAAGAAACTGAATACACTAGAACAGAAAGTACGCTAGAACATCAAGTTCAGAAAATAATCTCATACATCAAACCCATAAATTAATCTAGTGCATCAAATACATAAACTGATATGGTGAGTCAAGTTCAAAATCTATTGTGCTGCATCTACTTCAGAAACTTCACTGATACATCAAGTCAATAAACCAATCTAATCAAATTTCTGGATGAAAAGATAATTAAACAGAAGCATGGAGAGGATGAAACTGTAGGATGGTTCACCATTTTGTTGCCGCTGTTATGTGATATACCAAACAGAGTTCCTCCACGCATAAATGTAGAACCGCTACCCTCTGCGGAGGTTGGTCCTCCGCCATTACGCTCCTCCAGCGATGGCCGCCGTCACACAGAGATTGTGAGGAGATGCTAGTTGAGATGGAACGGCAAAAATGTTTTCGGAATTGAGCGGCTATGGAAGCGTTGTTACCCTTTTCTACCAAGGTCTAGGTCATGGAGGAGGCGGTTGGACGCGGCCTCGTCGTGGTAGATAGGGCCGAGGACATGCGCTCGTCGTTGCTGTGCGTCAAGGCAACCGCCGAGTGGCAACCCTCGAGGTTGGTGGGAAAAAGCAACCGTCAAATCGTCCGATTAAGCACGTAACAAATGTTATTGCTCGCACCTTTCCCGACGCACACCGCTACTACCACACGACCAATGCTGCACAGACTTCACACATGCGGACCCACAATAGATACTCTCTGAGTACTATTCGCACTGATGCCTCTACTACCAAACTGCCCATGGTGACGCACGCTCGTAACTCTAAAGACTTCACAACCATGACTTTCTGAGTAAGTCTTCAGATGTATGCCCCTTCCACCACATATTTGTGCATCCACAGAGTTGATACCAGTGCCTCTAAAATAACAACGTCGGTGCCTGTAGAACCTGGTGTTCCGTGCCTCACACGTCTACTAAGATGCTATAGCGGAAAAAAACCAGGCGACACAAATCTTGATACTAAAATCAAACCATCGAAGATTCCATACGGTTCCATCATTTCCATTTATCCCACCTCCACTACTCTCTTCCTTCCTCTCTTCCACAGCAAAATCTCGAAACATTCCACACTGACACAAGATCTCCTCATAGGTTCATTACACCAAATTCCTAGTAGAGTTCCCCTCGCAAAACAACCGCCACCACGCTTCGCCAACCACCCTCCCACTTCAAGATACACACCGTCAAACGATGCGCCCAACAACACAAAGTACCCACCAGACGACGACGAAGCAAGGACTTCAACACCGCCGGCGGAGATCACAACAAAAAAAACGAACAGACAGAATCGACCGATGGAAGCAAGAAGCCAAACACAAGCAATCGAATGTAAATAACAATCTATCCCATTACATTCCATTCTACAGGGAAAACAACCCTATCCACCACAAAAAATAGAGTTTTGCACTATCCAAAATCAATTTGTCTCAAAAATTGAAGTACCGTACACACGACATTTAATTGAAACGCTACTGCTCCCGGCTACGGAATTTTCACCACACAAAATGTGCTTAAAAGTACTACACCTGCCACTTCACTAACTATAATACCTCAAACGATCCAAATACTTCCAGCATACTGAGAGCTCAAACTTGGTAATTACACCAGATTTTCTCTGCCCGTTGTCCCTTGATTGTAACTATTTTCAAGTTATGTGCCTCGCGTCTGTCACAACAGTGTTTTTACTTCAGTGCCCCCTGTACCAGAATCCGTGCCTACTGTACACTCTAAGCCCTGCCTCATGTGCGTAAAACCACGTGCCTCGCATGACACTTTCCGTGACTCCTACGGGGCCTGTCGTGCCACACCCACCTCACTTCAGAACCTTGGTTCTGTAACCAAGTAGTCGGACCCATGCCTCTACCACCACACGTTTGTGCATCGAGAGAGTGCACACCCGTGACTTAAGAAAACACACGTACGTGCCTGTTATGGATTCACCTTTTCTGCCTTCCATGCCTGAACCAACGTGCCTTTGTCGCTCTCGAGACTTCACAACCATGCCTCTTTAACCGAGCATTCTAACACTCAGACACATGCCTCTGCAGCCACACGTTTGTGCATCCATAGAGTGCACACCCGTGACTTGAGAAAACACACGTACGTGCCTTTGTCGCTCCCGAGACTTCACAACCATGCCTCTTTAACTGAGCATTATAACGCTCGGACCCCGACAAAGGCACGTACGTGTGTTTTCTCAAGTCACGGGTGTGCACTCTATGGATGCACAAACCGCGCGCCTCACACAACACTGGCCTCCTGTGCCTGTGTCAACGTGCCTGTAGAACCTGCACTTCAGTGCCTCGTGTGCCTGCACCCACATGCCTGTAGAAAGGCTCCACTTCAGCACTACCACGTGACTTCACAAACGTGGTGCCTTCACTTCTTTGCCTACACGTACATGCACCCATGTGCCTCACGTGGCACTCGCCCAGACTCTTACGTGCCCCGTAACGCCACACCCAAGTGACTTCACGAACGTTGTTCTGTAACCGAGTAGTCGGACCCATGCCTCTCCCGCCACACATTTGTGCATCGAGAGAGTACACACCCGTGACTTGAGAAAACACACGTACGTGCCAGTTGTCGATTCACATTTTCTGCCTTCTGTGCCTGAACCAACCTGCCTCACATGCCTAACGAAACATGCGCCTTGACTCTTACATGGTCCCACTGCCACGCCCGCGTCGCTCCCGAGACTTCACAACCACGCCTCTTTAACCGAGCATTCTAACACATGCCTCAGCCACCGCACTCTTGTACTACATCCACAGGGTTAGTACATTACTACTTCAAAATAACATGATTGTTGAATAAACATAGTACTTAGCAAGCTAAATAACTTGCTCAATCACATAAACAAACTACAACTTGACATAAGGAAACTTGTTTAACCTGATACAGATGACATTACAAACGCCTTCGTTCTAACAGAAGTAAACTACGAACCTGATACAATAGAAAGGACAAGCATAAACACAAGCAACTCCACGACCAGTTTTCTATGTTTTCGTCATCACTAGTACCCGTAGTAAGGATCATCATAATTCTTCTCTACCTCTTTTGCACTCTCCAGACCTTCTCTGATGTTTTCAATTCTCTTCCACGACTCGTAGGTTGCGTACGCATCTATCACTTCATACTCAATGAGGTAATTTGGCAGTGGGCTGATCCCCCACAGTTTATGGTCTTCAACTCTATCAATCTTATCCTTCATCTATTTGTAGAATGGGTGGATCACGCTACCTGCAACATCAGCCAAAGAGTGGTACCTCTTTCTTCCCTTGAAAGGAACTCTCCATTTGCGCTGGATGTCGATGTACTTGTCGGGGTTGATCTCCAAACCAGAACTTCGCAGCATCTCTTTGTCACCTTCAATACTGAAGCCGGCAAAGGTGTAGAACCTGTCCTCCTTCAGGAACGGGCGCAGGCTCTTGAGCCTGCAGGGGGATGGCACATTTAAGGTGGATTCATCAAGTATCGATCAAGTACATGCTTAATTTTATTTTTGGAATTTACACTTGAACCAATTACCTATCTACTTCTTAGCCACATTAACAGATCAATTCAAGAAACTGAATACACTAGAATAGAAAGTACGCTAGAACATCAAGTTTAGAAAATAATCTCATACATCAAACCCATAAATTAATCTAGTGCATCAAATACATAAACTTATCTGGTGAGTCAAGTTCAAAATCTATTGTGCTGCATCTACTTCAGAAACTTCACTTATACATCAAGTCAATAAACCAATCTAATCAAATTTCTGGATGAAAAGATAATTAAACAGAAGCATGGAGAGGTTGGAACTGTAGGATGGTTCACCATTTTGTTGCCGCTGTGATGTGATATACCAAACAGAGTTCCTCCATGCATAACTGTAGAACCGCTGCCCTCTGCGGAGGTTGGTCCTCCCTGGTATACTCGACATCAACGCCGATGTACTGAGGGTACAAGCCGCAGACCCTCTTCAGGATCCTGCTGATCATCTTGTCGGCTTCCTCAGGATTGCTGGTGCATACGACATCTAGCTTTTCCTTGCCGTGGATGTCAACCTCCTTGTGGTGCACTTTGTAGTCGTGCTTCTGACCAGGGACCTGAACGTCGTCGACCTCCATGCTCTGGTTGGACGTCTCACCACGGGGACGCTTGGCAGATGGTTCCTCCGGCATTACGCTCCTCCAACGATGGCCGCCGTCACACAGAGATTGTGAGGAGATGCTAGTTGAGATGGAACGGCAAAAATGTTTTCGGAATTGAGCGGCTATGGAAGCGCAGTTACCCTTTTCTACCAAGGTTTGTGTCGTGGAGGAGGCGGTTGGACGCGGCCTCGTCGTGGTAGAGAGGGCCGAAGACATGCGCTCGTCGTTGCTGTGCGTCAAGACAACCGCCGAGTGGCAACCCTCGCGGTTGGCGGGAAAAAGCAACCGTCAAATCGTCCGATTAAGCACGTAACAAATGTTATTGCTCGCACCTTTCCCGGCGCACACCGCTACTACCACACGACCAATGCTGCACAGACTTCACACATGCGGACCCACAACAGATACTCTCTGAGTACTATTCACACCGATGCCTCTACTACCAAATTTCCCGTGGCGACACACGCTCGTAACTCTAAAGACTTCACAACCGTGACTTTCTGAGTAAGTCTTCAGATGCATGCCCCTGCCACCACATATTTGTGCATCCGCAGAGTTGATACCAGTGCCTCTAAAATAACAATGTCGGTGCCTGTAGAACCTGGTGTCTCGTGCCTCACACATCTACTAAGATGCTATAGCGGAAAAAAAACCAGGCGACACGAATCTTGATACAAAAATCAGACCGTCGAAGATTACATACGGTTCCATCATTTCCATTTATCCCACCTCCACTACTCTCTTCCTTCCTCTCTTCCACAGCAAAATCTCGAAACATTCCACACTGACACAAGATCTCCTCATAGGTTCATTACACCAAATTCCAAGTAGAGTTCCCCTTGCAAAACAACCGCCACCACGCTTCGCCAACCACCCTCCCACTTCAAGACACACACCGTCAAACGATGCGCCCACCAGACGACGATGAAGCAAGGACTTCAACACCGCCGGCGGAGATCACAAAAAAAACGAACAGACAGAATCGACCGATGGAAGCGAGAAGCCGAACAGAAGCAATCGAATGTAAATAACAATCTATCCCATTACATTCCATTCTACAGGGACAACAACCCTATCCACCACAAAAAACAGAGTTTTGCACTATCCAAAATCAACTTGTCTCAAAAATTGAAGTACCGTACACACGACATTTAATAAAAATGCTACTGCTCCCGGCTACGGAATTTTCACCACACGAAATGTGCTTAAAAGTACTACATCTGCCACTTCACTAACTATAATACCTCAAACGATCCAAATACTTCAAGCATACTGAGAGCTCCGACTTGGTAATTACACCAGATTTTCTCTGCCTGTTGTCCCTTGATTGTAACTATTTTCAAGGTAAGTGCCTCATGTCCGTCACAGCAGTGTTTTTACTTCAGTGCCCCCTGTACCGGAATCCGTGCCTCCTGTACACTCTAAGCCCTGCCTCATGTGCGTACAACCACGTGCCTTGCATGACACTTGCCGTGACTTCTACGGGGCCTGTCGTGCCACACCCAGCTCACATTCACAACCTTGGTTCTGTAACCAAGTAGTCGGACCCATGCCTCTGCCGCCACACGTTTGTGCATCCAGAGAGTGAACACCCGTGACTTAAGAAAACACACGTACGTGCCTGTTATGGATTCACCTTTTCTGCCTTCCATGTCTGTTCCAACGTGCCTTTGTCGCCCCCCGAGACTTCATAACCATGCCTCTTTAACCAAGCATTCTAACACTCAGACCCATGCTTCTGCAGCCACACATTTGTGCATCCATAGAGTGCACACCCATGACTTGAGAAAACACACGTACGTGCCTTTGTCGCTCCCGAGACTTCACAATCATGCCTCTTTAACCGAGCATTCTAACGCTCGGACCCATGCCTCTGCAGCCACATGTTTGTGCATCCATAGAGTGCACACCCGTGACTTGATAAAACACACGTGCGTGCCTTTGTCGCTCCCGAGACTTCACAACCATGCCTCTTTAACCGAGCATTCTAACACATGCCTCTCAAACCGCAGTCTTCTACTACATCCACAGGATTGATACCCGTGCCTCGAGAAGCAGCATGTCCGTGGCTACGTTGGCTTCATTTCCGTGCATCCACTGCTTAAATCCACACGCCTCACACAACACTGGCCTCCTGTGCATGCGTCAACGTGCCTGTAGAACCTGCACTTCAGTGCCTCGTGTGCCTGCATCCACATGCCTGTAGAAAGCCTCCACTTTAGCACTGCCACGTGACTTCACAAACGTGGTGCCTTCACTTCTTTGCCTACACATACATGCACCCACGTGCCTCACGTGGCACTCGCCCAGACTCTTACGTGCCCCATAACGCCACACCCACGTGACTTCACGAACGTTGTTCTGTAACCGAGTAGTCGGACCCATGCCTCTCCCGCCACACATTTGTGCATCCAGAGAGTACACACCCGTGACTTGAGAAAACACACGTACGTGCTAGTTGTCGATTCACCTTTTCTACATTCCATGCCTGAACCAACGTGCCTCACATGCCTAACGAAACATGCGTCATGACTCTTACAAGGTCCCACTGCCACGCCCGCGTCGCTCCCGAGACTTCATAACCATGCCTCTTTAACCGACCATTCTAACACATGCCTCTGCCACCGCACTCTTGTACTACATCCACAGGGTTGGTACCCGTGCCTCAAGAAGCAGCATGTCCGTGCCTGTATTACTTGCATTTCCGTGCCTCCACTGCTTGCATCCACGTGCCTCATACGACACTGGCCTGACCCGTGGTTCTCTAACTGCCTGTAGAACCCACACTTCCGTGTCTCCTGTGCTTCCCTCTGGAAGTGCCTGTAGAACCCACACTTCCGTGCTTCCTGTGCCTGCATCCATGTGCCTGTAGAACCTGCACTTATGTGCCTCGTGTGCCTGCATCCAAATGCCTGTAGAGAGGCTCCACTTCAGAACTAACAGTCTCAACACTAAAAAAATACTGTAGCACAAAAAAAACCAAGCCAAGCATAACGAATCTTGATGCCCAAACTGACGGCTGAAGATTAGAGAAGGTTCGATGGTTTCCATCTCTCCCTCCCTCTTCTATTACCTTGCTTCCCCTTCCGCAAAGTAAATCTCGAAACCTTCATCACTCCCGCACGCTCTCCTCCTTCCTTCTACACACAAACACAAACTCGAAATCGAGTTCGCGTCACCGGACAACCTCCACCGCGTTCGCCAACCACACTCAAATCCGACAAACAAATAGCCACACTCTGCCCGCGACAACACCAATAACCCCGCCGCCTCCGGCGACCGACGGCGAGGACTTCAACAGCGGCGGCGGAAATCGCAACAAAAAAGAGGCAACGACACAATAAGCGGATGAAAGCGAAGAACACAGCACAAGCAACTGAAGGTAATTATCATTCTATCCCACTCCATTCCACCGGGTATATCGTAGTGATTTTTCAACTTCCAGGAACGGCAACCCTAGCCACCGCTACCAAGGAGTTTTCTAATAACCTAAATGAATTTGCCTATCAAATTGAACTAGCGCAGAGACGAGATTTAATAGAAATGCTACTGCTCTCCGCCCTGGGATTTTCGCCATACGATTTGCGCTCAAAAGTAAAAAACCTGAAACATCAGTAACTAGAATACGTCCTTAGATCCAAACCCCGCAAGCATCCTGAGAGGCCTAAACTAATAACCGTATGAGATTTTCTACATCCCTTGTCCGGTCAATGTAACCGTTTTTCAAATTAAGTGCCTCTACTGTGAAATACCATGAACAAAGAATAGATGTACCCTGTGCTTCTATGGTAAAACAACCCGTGCCTCTCTATCCATGCAAATTTGTTTTCACACCATGCAGGTTTTTTCCTGTGACACTCGACTCTGCTTCTAACATCTGCCCATTTTTTATGCAGCAATGACAAATCCTCACGAAGAATCTGAAACGAGGCAAAATACTGACGAAGACCCTGCTGAAGAGCATGCAAATCAGCAAGCTCCTTGTCGGAGTAATGGGCCACGGGTAGGCCAACCCAAGCCCCAGAACCTTTCAAGACATCGGGGCAGGCTGCGCCCCTCAAGACCCCAGGACGGAGAGCCGCCTTCAAGAAGTCCACGACAAGACGGCCGACTGACCACTCGCGGCCGAGTCCTAGGGATGACCGCAGGGTAAGCCGACTCCTGACTGGCGACTTCCAGAGAAGCCGGCTTTGGGGAGTCGGCCTGCGATTCCAACAAACCCCGTGACCTCGTCAAGGGGGGACGGGGTAGGGGAGTGGCTACAGTGAAGCCCACTCCCGCCCCTTACCAAGGGCGGGCATGGCCACAGCACGCCGTACCCCGGAAGATCTACGTGCGGCGTGGCACTGTTGCCGTGCCGGCCCTGATATCAGCACCGCAGGACCGAATCCTGCACCCACGACGGCTTGTCTGTACGGCTCAGAGGCTGCGGGTCCCACCAGACGGTGAGACCACAAGAGACGGCAAGAGGACCACTAGTCGGACCCATCGGAAGTTGGCCTGGGGGAGTCGGCCGAGCCCTCCCCCGGGGCCCACGCACCATTAATCAAAATGTGATGGAGAGTGGCAATAGTGATCGCCCGCCAGGCGGCTGGGCTGTTGCCACGACCCCATGATCAAGCCCGCGTCATCAGAAGCACGGTTATAGTAATCAGCAGCCGGCAAGACCCACCCGCGGCGGACGCGGCCTGTCGGCTCCGTACCAGGCCAGTCAGTGGGGCCCGCCAGCCGGCGGGCCCCAGCGGTCGGCAAAGAAGACGAAGGCCGGAGGCGCTGACGGCTGGGCCCGCGTCCAGCCGGATTACCATTGTACCCCTGGGGGTAGGCCTATATAAACCCCCCAGGGCACCCATGCAAAGGGTTGAAACTCATTAGCTCTAGACCAGATCATATAGAAGGGAGAGAGCTAGCCTTGCCCTCTCCTACCTCCTAGAAATAGCTCAAGGAGCAACCGTATAAACACCTTGCCATAGTGATCATGCGGAGACCCCGCGGAGCAGCAGTAGGGGTATTATCTCCTCGGAGAGCCC